AATGCAGGACCAGAAACGTTGAATGCAGTTTGGCCGAAAATTGCATATAAGGGTAATATAGTACTTTCGCTTCTCCAGGTAGATGGTATGTCCCCGACTCATTGCTGGAAAGGACATACAAGCACACCACACAGGGTGATTTTTTAAATAACCAATCTCTTCTAGGTCTAATATTTCTTTAGGTTGCCGATATTCCAAGACCTTGGTATAGGCCTCCCATCCGGGTATTTGAGGCGGTATGCCCCTAAGTTGACCACTTTGGATCCACTTTTCCAACCGCTTTGGATGCGCTAACCTTCCGGATGACTAGCTCACCGACCTGGAAAGACCTAAGTCGCATACGATGGTTGTAGGCTCTAGCCATTTGAGCCTTATATGCCTCCATTCTAGTGTTAGCCCCTTCTCTAATTTCATCAACAAAGTCTAGGTTGGCTCTCATGGGTGAATCATTGTGTTCTACTGAGTAGTTCGCCATCCACCAAGATGGCTTTCCGATCTCTACTCGGACGACGGCCTCCATCCCATATGCGAGATTAAAACGTGACTTGCCCGTCGAGCTTCGAGGTGTGGTTTGATATGCCCATAGCACTCTTGGGAGCTCTTTAATCCGCGCCCTTAGCACGAGACAAAGTTGCCGCCGAAAGTCCCATTATCTCAGCCTCCCACCGTCAAGCGACCGTCACGCCACCGACGCCCATATCGGACCGAAATGTTGCCCTCGAGTCGCCATTTCCAACCCCCGCACCCTCGGACTCCGACCCATGCTTGAACTCCGAGCTCCGAGCCCTGACAGGATACGACCTAGTTCACGCTCAAGAATTTCCACCCCGATTCCTCCTCTCACGCCGGAGTATGTGCCCGACTAGATCGATTAGCATATATCAAATGCCACCTCCCCCGTCCCACATTCGGTACCCAACACACCCCGTGGGTTCTAAGACCAACCGGGACATTACGCCACGCGCCTTCTCCTTCAAACACCGAGTCGTCCAAAGTCTCGTCAAATGAATTAAATACTCCCGATATACTAGACGAAGAAAGACCCAACGACTTTGGAAAAAAAAAAGGAGATTTTTATTTTGGAATGATACATAGGCAAATACAAGTCTACAAGTGGCAAGAGGAGTAAATGCATGTTAAGAAAAAATGGATAAGGGTGTACCTTGAAATTTTAGAGATCTTCTACACAAATCAACCACAAGACAAAAGCTAGGTCCACAAAGCAACGATTTTTTTTTAAATTCCAAAGACCACCATTTACTCCTTTTATATGATTTTTACTCCCAGGCCGGGCCGTGTAATATTTGGTCCAACCGGGAGTGGATGGCTTAATGATGTATGCATATAATTAATTCAACCCATGCGGTCTAATTATAATTATTACATGGATTATTATAAATAACTCACATATCCAGTTATTTTAACCTTTAAGACCTAATTTTAATTATCACACGAAATAGTTTAGTAAATAACCCATATGTGTAATTAATTTGGCCCATGAGGCTTAAATTTAAGGGTTAATGCGAGATATAAACCCTTCGGTAAGAAAAATATTAGGATTAACCACCCTCATTTAATTTTAATAAGGCAAATCCCCTCAATTAGTGATTTACCATGTGTAC